GAATTGCACGAACAACCTGCGAGTGGATGGATCGTTGTTCGAACCCAAGACCCAACTGCCTTGCGGTGCGATTGTCTGCTTTGGATTCGTGGCGCCATTTGCAGCCATGTGCTGGCCGTATCCAACGAAGTCGGGATCAGACATCCAGGGATGAGTACACCGCCACGGCGACTGTCAAGCCGTACGAGACGTGCAGATGCTGAAGACAGCAGCATTATCAGGTTCGCGGCCGTCGCCGTCGTTTGCACGTTGCCTGATATATCATGTTTGCTGGGTTGCTAATTTGGTCGATAATACATTTTGTATATTTCGTATTTGTGCAGCATACTATTTGCAAGTACAATGCTTTGGGACTCCATTGTGTACAGAAACATTGGTGTGATACTATATTAGATAAGCTGAATTAGAGTAGAATTGTGTATAGAGTGCAGATAAATATGGTACCCAGAGCCACCATGTTAATGCCTGGAGTAGTCGGGTGAGATAATTCCCACCTTAGTCAAGATTAGATGCTTTTGAACTTGTCCATACATAAAGGGCAGTGGCCCATAATGATGTTCCACGCGCGCCAAGTATAAACGAAGTTAGCAAATTCTTGACTATTTGACCACACACCCCCGGAGGAGTAACATCGAACAAACAGCTCAATGAGTACTCAATACTGAAACAGATCTAATTTTAGTAGCTACAGTTACGTACTCCCACTCCTGAAATCACAAAACTTTGTGAGAAATAGCCAATCACATGCTCTGAATTCATTTACAATAGCCAATCACATTGAAATGTGAGTTTAATAACCAATCACATTGCTCCATATCACATATGTCCAGTAATTCTCATAACGCACTGCCTGCCGTAGTGGATCTCGTTGTGTAACATACTCTATATTCAATTCAGCAAATCTCATGTGTTCTTCAGCATAAAGCATGTGCGATTCAGCAATTCTTATGTGGTTCTCAGCAATTCCTCTGTGGTCCTCAGAAATTCTTATGTGGCAATATTTTATCCTCATCCACGAGACCATGTAACTCGCAATGGGACCTGGACCTTGACTGTGTCTTCATTGTCTTCGATGACACGCTTTCACGCAACATCCGCCGGCTGCCAAATCCACGTAAACCTTGGTGAGATCCTCACCAACACGACGCTGATGAACGTCGCGAACGCCACAACTTCTTTAGTCCAATGCACCGAAAAGTCGTCCCACAACAATAGAACTGGCTTCGTGTCACGATCCGGGCGCTCGGAAAAGTGGAACTCCAAAAACGACAACGAATTGGATCCGTTCCACCCTGCCGTGGGGTTTCCGTAGACGCGGCAGTTGAACTTGGCTTCCATAGGCTCGACAGGCTCCCACAGCCGTTTACCAAAGCCTTGTCGCTCAACAAGGTTACACAACGGCCTTGACTTTGCACTTCATCGTGCGGAGGATGAAGAACCGAGGGTGCTTGGTTCCAGCCGAATTCGCCAACACCATTGCCATGAATTCGCCAACACCATTGCCATGACTCGCTTCTTTATTTTCCCGCCACATTTCACCCACACGGTCTTCTCGCCGACGTCGTTGGTGGTCTTCGGGAGGTATTCGTAGTTCACAGCGGTTTGGTCAGCATTCGACACCACTTCAACGCCGTGCTCACCCATCAAGTCCTGAACGTGCTATGAAAATTCCTGGCGCGTCGCTATGCCATCTTCATTGGAGTCTTGACCGACTCGAGTACGCGCACGCAGCGACAGCTTGTGACGTCGCTTGAATCCAACCATCTAGTGCCATCCCGCCTTGAACTCGCCTTCACTGAATCCCTCGTCGACGGCGGCTTCGAGTGTCATGAGCTGAAGCATTGCATGCGTGACTGGGACCCCGTTTTTGCGCATGTCGTGCACCCAACGAAGGAGCATCTCTTCTGTGTCGTGGGAGAGGGTGGTGCCAGCGCCAAGGCATCGCCAACTTCTCTGCTTCGTTGTTCCCGTGGTCGACACCATGCCGGCTATGTGGTCATTCTTCGACAACCATTGGTAGTTCTTCTTCCATTGCGTCTCGCTCGACGTCGTGTTCAGGTTGGTGTAGAACTTGGTCAAGGTGGCAGCCATGCTGTGAGTACCGTAGTATTGAATCACGTCATGTCGCTCTTGGTAGCTACACGCAAGATTGTGGTGTTGCTGCCGCTTCTCCTTAGGCCCGTACTTGCATACAGGGCGCCCAGTAGGTCGCGACCAAGGAGGTGCAGGAGGAACAGGCAAGTTTTCTACCATGCAGTTGGCTGGTTGTGTAGCAAGCTTAGTGCATTTGGCGCCATCAAGTGCATATCGCGATGAAAACTTTCGAAATTTAATTTGTATCTCTATAACTTGATACAATATTGGCTTATGCAGTATATGTAAGATACAGGAGTTCTTTCACTACCCAAAGGAAAGTCAATCAAACACTATTTTGCACTATTTTGCACAGCAGCAAAACAATATTATTTCTGAGAGTGTCTAACTAGTAAATAATGTCTAACTCGTATTACGGAATATGGTAAGTGGCCGTCGTCGAGGCAATCGTCGTTGGAGCATCTTGGTCTTGGACCCCTGGGGCCAGGCGAACGAACCAAAAGTGTAGTTCTGGTTTTTAAATTGTATTGGAGTTTGTATTTACTGAACTGAAAATTAGTACTTTAAATATAGAATACCTGTATTTTTTAATATATACATGAACCTTTAGTAGAAATGACTCGGTTGTTGTACTTTGATTGTACTTCAATTTTGTATACAGTACCTGGAAGGAGATATTCTTGTCAGCACCCAAATGTCGTTGGGTTGTGAAATATTACCTACCCTTCCTGGAAGAATATCTGCTGTATTACGTACTCCGGATTAATTGAGTTTGGATTATTATTTTTAAGACATTCCTCCGCGAGGGCCGAAGTGCACGGTACTAGTATGGGTGTATAGAAATTTTACGGAACCACAGTGAAAATTTACTTGTTTGTGGAATTCGTAAGGTGGCTGGCTACTTCTAATTATTAACCAATCAGAGTGCATCATGGTTTCTTTGCCATATAATTGGTCAAGTCGATCATTTTTATCGACTTCAAAAATGCAGAAGTGCTAATAGTTCCCAGCGACTCAAACTATCACCAGCAGCTTAATGCTCATGTCAGCAGTTCATCGCACTCTCGAGTACACTCACTAGCATTTTTCCTTAGTGCTTATTGAAGTCGACATCGAATGACGAATGGTCGATGCGAATTTCTCGTTAGGAAGGACCAGCAGTATCACTACTACTTCATGGTTTCGGTGGACTGTGACCAACACCCAAGGTCCTTCCACGTCAAAATGAGGCAGTTGTGGGTAAAACTACCGTCAGTAAGAATCATATTATTGGGGCATAGCCACCAAAAGTTTGACCAAATCAAGTCGTTTGCCCGCGACGTTTCGGGGTTTCGGGATCAACGAGTAAATTGCTGTAAACGACCTATTTACAGTACCAGTAGTTGACGAGCTTGGCCCATGTGATTACTTGGTTTATGCCAAGATGCAAAACTAGTAAGACGACCAAGGTCGGGGGCATGTGCGAGGGCACCCGAGCCCAGCACTTCCACCAGAGCGCCCACTTCGCCAAGAATTACCACTACCTATGACTACCTATGCTGCGACAAGACGCGGACCAAATCGTACTGCATGACCATCGCCCAGGCTAAAGCGTGCGGATAGGAGCAAGGAATCGCATTCTAGTACTGTAGCTCACAATCCAATAGCTGCAGCCTACAGCTAGCAATGTAGCAAAGAGAATAGAACGATCCTATTGGCCAGTTATTTTCACTTTTCTATCATATAATTGGACAAAAATTTGGTAAGGCAGCCTGCCTTACGAATTCATCAATAAGATGCGTTTAAAGGAATTTAACTTATTCCATACAAAGATGAAGTTTCATTCAATAAAATTTGAACTATTGGACTTTCGAGTGAAATTTCGTGTTGAGGCGTGGTTTCTCGTTGGAATTTAAATCGATTTGATTGGCTACTTCAGAGGAGCTCAAAATTAGTAACCAATCAAAACCTTCTCAATGAAATCAACCAATCAGATCGATTGCGGATCGGTTTGGCCCCTCCCCAAATTTGTATCAAATCGATAATATTTCAGATCGATTTATGGAATTCGTAAGGCAGCTCACCTGTCGCGTGGAAGCTAGCGGTCATGTCAGCATGAGCACCATGAGGAAGCTTGTTGCCGCGAAGCACCCGAGCAAGCAGTTGATGCAGATTGGCATTGCGTTCGGTGTCCATGAAGTCCTTGGCGCGCATTTCGAAATTGAGATGCTTGAATTGATCAATAATACGGATAACTTGTAATTTAACCCGACACCCGGATGCATTACTCGTTGGTTGTCCATGATAGTATGCTGGTTAACATGTAAAGTACTAGTATTGAATTTGATTTGGTGTTGGAAGTGTTGATTGGATGAAGTTTGGTTTGACGTTAATTGATTGGATCGCTCCTATATAAGCGCTTTATACATTATACATATACCTTCAGGGAGATGCGGGAACTAGAGAGAAAAACTCATCATAACACGAAGTTATGGATGGCCAAAATCGAGGCATTCATGGTTGGCGAAGCAATATCTAGACTTTCTTCGCAGTCATCCAACTTGTTGGAGAGTGACATTGGCTGCTGTAAGGTTACTGACACACTTTCTATCGCTCTCTGCAAGTGTGGTGCTTGCATTCAGAAACTTCGCGCCATTTCGCAATGAAAACTGAGCATTTCCGGATACTACATTACATTTGCGGATGATATATTTTTATTGCTCATGCGGATGTTTTGTGATACTCGGACGACATGCGCAAATATCGAAAATGGGTGAACTTTGAGGACGCTTTTCTCGAGCTGTGTAATACTTACAGCAATACTACTAGTACTACTAGATAGACCATTACTAGCTCAGCCTATGCAGCATGGTCTGCGCATACATAGATCTCTCTGGCATGAGGCATCTTACCCGCATGTACACGCTTGTTCTTGAAATACTACGAATTTGGCAAGTTCGAAGTTGTCTTTCTCTAGAGCATTTGATTCAGGCGACATGCAACAAAGTGATCTTGATATTATGGCTGTTGTTATGAGGAATATACTAGTTTCGTGACCCATTGTATAGTATACTACTCCGTTCCACAAAAACTGTCAGGTATATTTTCACTTGATTAAAGTATGCACTGGGCAATTGAAACGACTTGCTTTTTGTATGCCACTCCAAAACACCATAACCTAACCCGCTCAAAAAAATTTATTGTATTTTTTTAATGTCTCATTCAAGAGACTTGACCATGGCATCGAGGTGAACCTCCTCACCAAGTCGGCTATTCAAATGAGCCAAAGCGCTCTCGTAGGACGAGACGTCAAACTCGACATTATACGATGCAAAGTCTGCAATCAGAGCGTCCTTCTTCATGTGAGGAAGCTTATACTCGTTGCTGCCATGTATTTCAACGGACAATTCCATAACTTTTTGAAGGGTTACGAAAGTCTTTGCAAGCGTGTCAGTCGGCAACTCATAGAACGCATTTTCTACAGCAACAATAAGCTCCTCGATGGTTCGAGTGCACTTTTGGTACTGTAGGCTTTGAATAGAATTTAAGAATCCTAAATCTAACACGTTGAAATCGGGGCTGTTCGGGGGTTGGTTAGTCACTCCAATGCCACAAACTCCATGTGCACAAAGCTTCTCTGTCGTTACATTTCTGTGATGGCTTGCATTGTCTTGTTGGATCAGCACATTACCAGGTCTGAGATAGGGTTTGACGTAGTTTGACCGCGCCTTGAAGCGAGGATTCTTCTTCATGTGGCTAAAGATCGTCGTCATGGGGATTCCACACGCGGCCGACAGAGAGCGAAAGGTCTGCCGTTGCATCTTTAATTTCGTCGCTTGTTCGGAGCGCATGGTGTCCAGAGTTCCCTTAAAAAGTACAACCTCATATATCAATAATTGCATAAATTTATAAAAGTATCTGGCTTGAGAGAATTACCCTTAGTTTTTGAGGCGACATCGGCCGCACAGTGACCGCCGCGGAGCGAAAGACGCGCTTGCGTCCACAGACGTGATATCGTTCGCCGATGGCAGCGAAACATCTTTCATGCAAGCTCGGTGAGAGCCCCACGGGGCAGCACACCATCAACGGCGACGCTTAGGAGCGTTTCGTAGGCCGTGCGGCGATGGGCGAAGCTCAAGTGCTTGCGCACGTCCGCGAGATCCCGGATGGCGACAGAATCATCACCGGTTCGCTGTGGTGAACAAGGAGGCATGTAGTGGCGATATGTGTGTGCAGGAAGTGCTGCGTAGCCAATACATTGTGTAATGAAGTTCTGGCGGGTCATTTTGTAATAGCTGATCATGACCCGGAAGTTTTGCCGCGCAATATCTCAACAACCAAAATGGCTGGAAAGTGCTATAAACTACCCAATCAAAGCAGAGATCTTGCGCTTTCCAGAACGCCAACTCAATTGGAGTATTTTTAGAAAAATGCCGCAAATCAAAAGTACAACATGACAAATTTTGAGGAACAGAGTGGTACTTTGACAAATCGCTGGATTGCCCCTTTCCGTACGTATGTACAATCTGCAGGATGTATACATCGTTTTGCAAAACGTGAACTTAATGACTAAAAATACGCATACTTAATACAAACATCAGCTTAAATATGTCCAAGCCAATAATAAATAATATGTAACTGTCGCGCGCAGTACACGCCGTTTGTTTCCGTGTAAGTGGCAGATTCAGTTTCTTGTTTACTCGCACGTGACAACTTGAGTTAAGTTGCATGAATCCCCTCGACAACGGTACACCATTTCGGAAACCCCGAAAGTGGTACTTCGAATATCGCCATGGATACCGATATGATTGGCTTATTTAGACCAATCCTTAGTTTGGCCCAAATGTTCTCAAATATGATTGGATATACTTGCAGAAACTTCGGTAGTATAAGTAAGGCCCAACGGGCATGTCGTTCACTGCACTCGCAGTATTTTTATTGTGCTTGAGAATAGTATTTTGACGATTTTAATTCAAAGTTGCAATCAAAGCAATAGGAAATCTCAGCGGCATTTCAATACAAACCACAAGTCAGATAGACTTGAAATTTGGAGCTAATCTTTTTCATACTAATATGAAGTACTTCCCAAAATTTCATCAAAATTGGAGTAGTATTGATGAAGTTGCGAAAATTCGGGAGCCTTTTCGCCCAAACGTACGGTAGCCAGATCTTGGACACTAAATATGACGATCACATCTCAAACTTCTTCGAGACAAAGCTTGGTTTCACCAGTTGAACAAGCGGTGCACAAAGTGCAGAAATAAATCTCCGAATCGTCCACGTCGGCAGGTTCTAGACGAGCGACCAATAGAGTCAAGATCAAGCCAAAGTTTGTCGCACCACTAACGGGCAAGGCCGTTGAAAGGGAATCCCCAATCAGCATGATTGGGAAATGAATGTTAATAGTGAGATTATTCCAATCTGGGAGATGCGGGAACAGGACACAAACACATCACTGTGAAGAATTAAGCGCCCTTGACCCCTTCAAATCATGGTGTACCGTTGTCGAGGGGATACATGTATCTTTAGTCAAGTTGTCGCTTGCGAGTCAACAAGGAACACTGAATCTGCCACTTCCACCGAATCAAGCAACGTGTTGATGGGTGCGACAGTTACATATCATTATTCGCTTGAACATATTGATGTTGATATTTGTATAAAGTATGTGTATTTGTATTCATCCCCATAATTATTTACTACGTAGTACGTTTTGCACATACATGAGGGAAAGGCGCGACGCAGGTCAGCGATTTCTCAATGCATACTGCACAAGAGGTCACGAAACTCTCCATTCCTATAACAACAACTACAGTAATACGACCAAGAACACCTTATTGCATGTCGCCTGAATCAACAGCTGTAGTGAAAGACAACTTCGAACTTGCCAAATTCGTCGTATTTCAAGAACAAGCGTGTACATGGGGGTTAGATGCCTCGTGCCAGAGAGAACTGTGTATGCACAGACCATGCTGCATAGGCTGAGCTAGTGATGGACTATCGAGTAGTACGAGTTGTGTTGTTGTAAATATTACACAGCTCGAGAAAAGCATCATCAAAGTTCGTCCTTTTTCGATATACGGTAACGTCCAGCACACGAATACAACGTTTTGCCTGAACAACTGTACCTAGTTAATTGATCCGAGTACTACTGTACTAGTGGTAGTTTACTCAACGCGAGACACGTTCCATCACGCAAGTGTGTCGTCACATACGAGATACGGTGGTCGTACCGGAAGTTCGTGGATTTGGAACCACACGAAAAGAAGCAAAGTACTCTTTGAACGTGATCAAGACGATACAGTCCCCAGAAAAAGGCCACAAGTTGTTAGTACCCAGAACAACTCATCAAGAATGGCTTGGTCGTTGAATTCTTCGTTGTATTATAAAACACCCAAACAAAGGGCGACGTGAGCCCCTTCTTCATTTCTCGATTTCGCTTATTGCCATGAAGTTCCTTGCTACTCTCGTCCATGCCGCCGCTGCGTCTCAATTGGTGTTTAACAACCCCGCATCATTGAGTGATAGAAAACTATTCTTCCCCATCTTCTCAAACAGAACATGGTTGATTCAATTCCGCAGCCCATCGTTAGGAGCTTATGCCAACGATCCCGCCATTGCAGCCATTTCAACTCTGACCCTTGATAATTTCAGTTTTGCCGTCGAAATCAAAGAAAACATTACGGCCAACGCATCGGTGTGGTTGGAACCAAAGTTGTGCCGTTCCGTCAACGGTAACCAACACCCCATTGATACACTTATCCCCCTATAGTTGTTCAAACCAATATATATGTTCACGAGAGTTTTCCTTCCAGACTCCCCCAACTGCGACGAGCCCATAGCCACTTCGCGCATCCCCATCGATGACAAGGTCAATAGCCTCAATATCCAATGGGCCCCCCACCCCTCTATTGTTGTTACGCCCAACACCACGTACTAGTTCGCGCTGCGCTCCTCCAGCAAAACCTATTCCACTGCCGCCAGGTGGTTGGAGGGCGACAATTGGATCTCATTCGCGAATGATCCCGCGGAGGACGTGAGGATGGCGTACATCAATCCCGATATCAATCAAGAGTCCGTAATTCCCCGCAAGAAGGATACTTTCACCGCGTCCCTCCAAGTGTATGCTACGAATTATGTTCGCGGTGAACTATTGCTCCCTCCCGCAAAAGTGTGGGATTTAGACTAAGGCTTATCGGGCAATGCAGTACTGCCACTTCTGGCCGCTAGCTACCCTAGGTTGGCCTAACTTCATAAAACAGTCGTTCGTAGTTGTTGCAAACGTTGGTGCAATTTTGTTTGATGCTCCCGAACCACTACGCCAAGCACTCGTTTGACAATGAAGCAGTGGGGGCGTATTTCGCTAGCAATTGCTGGGTGGTTGGTCCGAGGCTGCTTGGGCTCTACGGTCATGGAACTAGTCGTAGCGATTTTGTACTTATCTTGTACTTACTATAAGAGTGTGATTTGTCGGTGGTGGTGGGTCGTTTAGAAACAGCGCAGAGTTTAAATCCACATGCATGTGTCAAGAGTACAACATTACAGTGTACACGTAGCTCTATGAAGTGGCCCCGTCGAGTCTGGAGCACCATTAGCAGCGACAATTGGTGAGCACTCTTCAGTGAAGACTCTTCACCAAGTGTCGCTACAAAGACGTCGACGATTTGAACCACGACGATACACAGGACGCGGAAGAAAGGTGGTCCGTCGTGCTTCGTGCGTTAGGCAGCGACCGCGTGCTGTCAGAGTACCGCGCATGGAGTCAGTACCAACCGAACCCTATCAACTGGCGCGTGATTTGGCCCAGACAACGACGTGTGCCCATGCCAGTAGAAGACCTCGTCCTGCAAGTGCATGCGGGTCTTGACGACTTCGAGGGGCTTGGAGATCACTGACGCCAATCCGAGGCGTTCGCGGCAAGGAAGATGTTGGCCAGCACAACCTCCCAAGGTGGCGGCTGAACCAAAAGCGACCTGTGAGAGGATAATGATGGGTTATCGCCAACATGTTAGTATCTGAGCAAAACTTCGACTAGTGAAAACTTCGACAATAATATGCGAGTAAGTACTTAACAAGGACAATATTGATGATGGTGTTTATTGTAACGTTAACGTTATGTGTAGTACCGTGTAACATATATAGATTTGGACAGTGGCGGGGCAAGTATCCGGATACGGATAGTGTAAATTTCAATATGCTTACAATAATCAAGTGTAATAATCCAATTATATAATTTTACAGAGGATTATATCATTTTACAGAGGAGTCCAAATCTATATGGCTGTCTAAACCAATATACGTTACACGGTAAAGACAAACCAACGGCATATGGAAAGCAACAGTGAGGTGCCCGACGAGTGCAATGGAGACACGACGAAGGCGCTTCCCGAGTGACGTCATTACTACTTTTTTACCTCTGTTTCTGCGATATTTTTATATTTTACGCAACTGACTATACCAAAAGTAGAAAAATGGTCCTCGACTTCACTTTCTAAATCGTGAAAAAAAATAGGTAAATTCATTTTGATTGGCTCATGTTATTTCTGAAAACTACTTGGAACTTCCCCTTACTGTTAACTCTAAAACGCATGGCGTTTTATTCCTTGCACATAATCCAGAAAATGACATGAAATATGGGAGAAAATAACATGAAATATGGGCGAAAATATCGGCATCGTAATGCACGACGCATTTTATTTTTGATTTGTTGAAAACAAATTGTCCAAATTTTAATTCATTTCACTTACAAATGCCTAGTGATTAAATTGGAGATACTAGTTGTTCAAGCAAGTAGGGAAAACGTAATTAGGAGTTACACGTGACTGCATCCATTGGGACAAAACAGGGTAATAGTGAGTTCAAGACAGATGATATTGGGACAAGCGGGATAAACTGCATCCACTTATTGCATCCAAGCGCATTCAACTGCATCCAGATGCAATTATACATGTGGGACATCGGGGTCGAGTGGGTTCTCGGGGGGGTTCAAAAACATCGGCTAAGGTACATTAAAGGTACACGTAAACAATCAATTTAAGACGCATCTGAGGAAGGCGGCTAGGGAGAACTTCCAAAGCTTCCCGCTCATACAACATTTTGGACTTCTGAAACTTGGAGATTGTAGCTGAATTAATGGGGAACTACCTCGTATCAATTATATTGGGTTTCGGAGCATTTTCTATGACTAAATCAACAAAAACCAAGCAAGTTTGATCTAATTTTAACAATCAATTTAAGACGCATATTTTTATCTTGAATATAGTATACGTATTTGAATATAAATTATATGGTTAGGTTATTTAGCGTCGTTTCATTGGCTCAATGAAATTTCGCGTCTTTTCATTGGCACATGCACATTTTATCTTAAACTGATTGAAGCTCTTAAATTGATTGTTTGTTATGACTATTACATTCGGGAGCATCGGGGTTACGTGGGTTAGAGCATCTGCACCGGTACCAGTAAATTTGACCCCATTATCCGGATAACTTGTTCGGATAAGCGAGTTACTGGCGCCATTAAGGGCAAAGTTTACTGGCCTCGTTTTGATTTCGCACCGAAGTCAATAACTTCAAAACAGATTGCACTTGCTTCGTGGTGGATTCGGCTGCATGGGACTCTCCAGTGAATGTAGAGACCATTACCAGTTCAGTTCTATAGTACAGTGTTGGAAATGTTACCGTTGCCCTCATGTAGCAAACCAGCTTGTAATTCACTATACCGGTACCTCTGTGTGCAGTCGGGACTACTGTTATACGCTGCAGTACTCGGGCTTAGAAATGACTTGCAGTTTGCTCTTTTCCGACGATTAGATCGAGCGAGGCACTCAGCCATGCGTGACACAGCTGCCCCTCCCTCCCTGCTCATGTGGGGTGAAGTTTCGGGAGCGTACCTTCGTTGCCTGTTTTGCTTATATGTATGTATGTATGTATGTATAGTGCCGCTTATTCGCGTACATCAGCTAACAACGAAATCCTTTGCGTCTACAGCTAGAGGACTTCGCATACCGGTACGTCGAACATAAGACATCTGAGTGCTGGGGAATGGTGGGGCATGCGGTGACGATCTGCTCGGTCAGGAAGCCGCGGACAAGATCCTTCCATCGGATCTTGTCCGCGGCGGTGGAGCGGGGTCGGTGAGGCGCTGGAGCCGGGGACGGTCGTGAGGTCAGCGTTGAGGACGCGAGGCAGCGACGTGATGGGGCACCTAGGCCAATGCTAATCAACGGAAAAGATGAAGGACCGGGACATGGACTTGTAGGCCGCTGGGGTCTCCTTGGCCACATCTTATGGGGTTGACGGGACACCGGAGGATGTGGCCAAGGAAGCCCCAGCGGGAGCGGAGCAGGCGGAAGCACCTTGGCGACCGCATCGGCGCAGTCGCGAAGGAGCTTGGAATGACGGGGGAAGCCCTAGCGGGAGCGGAGCAGGCGGAAGCTCCCTGGCCACCGCATCGGCGCAGTCGCGAAGGAACTTGGAATGGGGAACAAAGCCACGCAATCGATCGAGTCACAGATGATTATGATTGGTCAGTTGACTTACTGGAGTCCAGTACTCCAACAAAAATTCCAACAAATTTACTGGAATATTTGTTGAAGTAGTGGAGTCCAGTAACTTTTTTACTGGCTATTGGTACTGGTGCGAACGGTTTTTTTGGAATTCCAGTAAATCGCCCAATAAAATTATTGGGATCTGAGAACTGCTGGCACCGGTGCAGATGCTCTTACCAGGGTTTTTTTTGGCTCGCACTCATATCTATGACTTTTGGATGCGTTTGGATGCGCTTTGGATGCAGCGTGGGAAGTACACTTATTTGGGATTCTCAAAAAAACGTTTCATTGGGCCAATCACATCGCTAGAAATGAGGTATTTTCTTGCCTTGCGTTTGAGCTTCAAGCTTCCTACTTGATAGAGCCCATTAATTGACCGCTCCTACGACGACCTAACCCCTTTGCACCCATTTTGGGCTGTTTTCATTGGCTATAATTCATTTTTCTCAGATTTTGAGAGCGATACAAACTCCAAGTTAAGGTACTTGGTCGTTGAACAGGCCTCGTCGGGAGGAAAAGATAGGACGTCCCCGTGGGGCACGATGGCGTCGCGCCACAGCGCTCGCTTTGGTGCGAGTCGCTCTACACTCTATCTACGCTACGGTACGTATAAGTCTATCTACGCTACGCTATAGAAGTCCTGGTTAATGGGGAAAAAGTGGGCAAAAAGCTGGGGTTGAACTGGTGACCTTTCGGACCCCATGTTCAAACCGCTAGACCACGGTGGCTGGTTCTTTTGGAATTGCTGTTAAGCTTGATGTATACAAAAAGAATCTGAGCACAATGAATTATATCCAATGAGCAGCGACCACACCCATTACTACAGGGCTAGGTCGTCGTAGGAACGGTCAATTAATGAGGGTAACATGATGAAATCGTTAAGGAATGCTCAAAATCGTTAAGCCGGGTATGAAAAACGTTAAGACCCACCAAATTTCTGATAAAATGGAGCGTCTATGTGCGATGACATACCAATTTCATCAGATGGCTCAAGGACAGCCCTTGAAGTTCAATTTGTAGGCACAGAATGTTGACGATGAAGTGGGATGATCGCACCATATCGAAACATCTACAGTAGTGTAGCAACATCAGGTATAGTACCGTATTTGTTTAGTATCCAAAGGCGAAAATGCAGTTCCTATGCAAAACACCGAAACACCGGACCAAAATACATCGAAACGCCGCGACCAAAGGTTTTAAAGAAGGATGTTAACTGTAGTTTCGAAGTCAAGCGCTATGTCGTCAGGTCTACATCTAGGAGGGTCATTTGTACACAGTTAAGAGCCTGGAAGTTCATTGAGCGGAGATATGAGTGGCCCAATAACATTGGTGGTCTAGAGAAGTCGACCGTCGATATCGGGCCACTCATTCGCGCAAGTCAACAGCCATAAGAAACACGTAAGTCCCTCCAACTCGTAGAAATGGATGCTCCACAGCGCGTGATTACGACTGCGAGATGAATTCGTGCATGTGTCGATTAATGTCGATAGGGTTTCTGTTACGATGGATCGTGCAACTCATATCGACATTGATCGCTGCATGCACCACGAACACTGCCGTGAGTAGTCGATTCGTGGTCGCAGAAAAGTTTACTGCGAAACACAGTGCTACATATGATGACCTTAGTCTAAACTAATACTTCGAAGTACTTCGTAGTATAGCGTTGTGTTTTGCTCGCTTTTCGCTTTCAGTACACGACAAACGACCCAACCAGATTTGAATTGTGGTTGAAACAAGTAGTCGTACCGAAGGTACTACGAATGGTCTCAACTGAGAAAGCAGACGACTCATGCATAGAGTAAAATGATTTGGAGGTCCGGTGTTGAACGCAACGATGAAGCTAATGATATGGAGGACCTACAGTTGTGGTGATTGTCTCATTAGAATAGATGTTTTTGATCGTTGGTTGCAGCTTGAGTTTGGTAGTGCGTCAATGCAGCTCGTGAATCCCCCGATTTCGGCGCTGGTTCCATGCCACGAAAAATGCGAAATGACCGCACAAATTAATACACCAGATAAAGGTTTTGTTCCGAACGAAATAAGTTATTGCTGGTAGCTCAGCGGTAGAACCTCAGGTTCGTAGTCGAAAGGTCCCGAGTTCTAATCCGGCTTTCACACTGTTTTTTAATATTAACCTTTTTAACCGCACACCTCGACGACACTCAGGCGATCATTAGGCGATATGGATTTGTCGAAGGTTATCCTTATCGAACCACCAAGGTAGGTTGGGCACGAAGGAACTGATGGTGGTATTGGTCCCATGTAGTAGTCGTTCTGGAGGTCCGATATGCATCCAGAGCCACTACTACACAGGTCCAATACAGCGACAGCCCTTGTTAGGATATGTG